CCGGATTACCACCGCCAGCCTGGGAATCTCGCTGCCACTCGCTCTCGCCGTGGCCAGATGCTCGGCAGGAGGCCGAGAGAGGCGCTTGTGGTTTTGCAAAGTGGGGAGCCTGTCGCCGGCTGCACGTGTGCTCTGTGTCTCTCCCCACCTTGCCGGCGAGTGCGCAGGACTTCGGAGCGCTTGGGCTGTTTTCCCCACGCTGTGCTGTGCCGGCAGCCTGGAAAATGCTGGTAACCCATGCCGGCTTGGTGAGCACAGAGCTTGCATTCACGCTCCTACCGCCGAAGGCTTTCCCAGGGCTCGCCGGGGAGACACTCTGCGCCGAAGCTCCTCTTGGCTGTGTTGCAATCTCCCCTTCGAAGGGTGGAGCTGCAGCGGCTTCTACCTGCCCAGGTGCGGAGCGGTTTGTGCAATGGGCTCGGCACCCCCGGGGCACTCGCCTCCGTGCGCCGGCACCGCGGCGCGGTTCGCTTCGGCTTCCTCCCGCCGTGCTGGTGTAGCGGCGTGTTTTCCTCCCGGTGACCTGGCTGCGCAAGGTGACCCAGAAAAACAACCGCTTGGTGCCACAGCGATGTGACGGCCCTGGTGCTTTTGCTTCAGTGTCAGGCCACGTGGCGCAAGTGGGGACAAGGCAGCGAGCGATCCCCATGGCCACCTTCCCCTCCTGCCCAGGAGGCTGATGCTGCCTTCCCTCGCACCCCGAATACCCCCTGGGTTGGTAGAAGTGAGCAGAGAAGCTTTGAATTAATGGTTATTCAGCAGAAGCAGGGAGGAGAGGGAGAAGGCATCGTGTCTTTGCAAAGAGGCTGAGTTTTGCTGTGTTTTAAGGACAGGGTTATTTGCAAAGCCTTTTGCCCTGAGAGCGCTGCCCCGGTCCCACCATGCTGCTGCTGGTGACATGGTGGCTGCTGAGCCCCTGCCAGCCCCGGCGCTCGTGTGAAGATGAGCTTGCCACCAGCGCTGGCCTTCCCATGCGAACGTTCTTGCGAACTAAAAATAATTCGCAAAAATGTTGGCAGCTGGACGTCCAGCCGGGAGAGGAGCCTGTCGCAGAAACCTCCCATCTCTTCCCGTGGTGCGTGCTCCCAGCTCGCTTCTCCCTGCCCCGGCACTCCGTCCTGCTCCTGACCAGGCGGGTGAGGAGGAGGAGGATGGATTCGGCCCCCTGAGGCTGCACAGGGCCAGCGGAGCATCGCGGTCCCAGCCCGTGCATCCCATTCCCAGCCCCTCTGTGGCCATGTGTCATGGTGCTGGTGGCTTACGAGGGTCTGCTAGGAACTGGCAGGACCCAGGCTGGGTTGGGGAAAGGGACAGACCCCCCAGGAGCTGTGGTGGGACCGTGCATTTGGCCTTCTTTGGGTGAGGGGAAGAGGAGGAGCTGCTTGCCTGGCTGCCTGCCCCCTGAATCATGTGTGAGCATCGGAGGCTGCCGCGGAGGGGAGTTGTTTACTGTAACTCTTGGCGGAGGTCCCGGCATGAAACCCCAAATGAATTCAAGCTGCAGCGGGAGGTCACGGCTGAAACAAACAGCTCCCAGGGCAGGAAAGGCTTCGCAAAGGGGTCCAGAGCTGCTGGAGCCCGAGCTGGAGCATGAGGGATGCAGGGCATCCCGGGGAGCTGCCACGCGCCGGTGCCACACGCCGGAGGGGTCCCAGCACGGGGACAGTGGCCGAGGCTCCTGCCCAGGGCCTGGGCTTCGCTCCCTGCATCGCTGTCCCCAGCCAGTCCTGGTCCCTCACCACCCTGGCACTGGGAACGTAAAGCATTGTGTTTCTAAGCTCTGGAAAACCGCCCTGAGTTCTGTGGCTTCAGCCCACACTGGCCGGGTACGAAGCTGTAACGTCAGGGCTTTGTGCAGGCTGGGACGCCCCGTGTCACCCTGGGCCACTTCAGGCCGGTCTGTGCTCCCGTGGTGCCTTGTTTTCATCCCATCCTCCCTCTTTTCTACCTCCTAAAATCATTGCCAAAACATCCCCAGCTGAGCAGGGCCTGGTGTAGCGGGGTGCTCCCTGCCCCATCCATGTGCACAGCTGGGGGGCAGTGGCAGCAGGAGG